GTTACAGGTGCCCCAAAGGCTATACTGGAGATGGGACCAGCTGCGAAGACATCAACGAGTGTGAAGTTTTCGCAGGGGCGATATGCCACAGCAAGGCCATTTGCATTAATACGAAGGGCAGCTATAGATGCATATGCAAAGTACGCGAGAACCTGTTATATCTGCGCTTGCTGTTGGTGACACCACACGCATTTGCAACAACGGAGAAGCAAACATTTGGAACTTTGCCCGTTCGTGAGAGCAGTTGCCTTCTCAGGCTTTCGTGTAATGAGCACAACCAGCTGTAAACATTGAACAAGTCNTTCGTGAGAGCAGTTGCCTTCTCAGGCTTTCGTGTAATGAGCACAACCAGCTGTAAACATTGAACAAGTCAGCACATTTTACGCACTCAGCTTTCGTTGTTGTGTCGCATGCGGCAGCCTGGATACACCGGCGACGGCAGAGATGTCTGCATGTACGTCCTCACCTACAGTCAGCAAATTTACATTTGCTTAAGGCAGTTGCATGGCTCAGGATTACTTCGCACACATTTGTTTAGTCAATTTCACGGACATATGTAATTAACATGCACTAGCAGTCAGGAGGGTCCTCAGACTTCTAAGCGCGACCATACAACAAGTGCACGCTAGGAGAGAGTACTCTTTCAAAGAGAGGACACTGTTTGGAACCAGATCAGCCGTAACAAGAGAGGGCGTTTTCCAGTGCAGATCCTACCTCCATTTTGGGAGCAGGAAAAAGCACCCCCAGTGGGTAAAGCCGGTACGAGATGCTGTGGCGCATTTTCAGGCTCGGAAATCAGAGTCACAGGTACGGGGCCTATATCCTCCACTGGCTTTGCAGCAGGAAGAAGGAGGCACGATGAGGCTTTTCGCGTCCCTAAGCAACTTGGCACAGGCTATCCTGCAGCGACAGGCCATGGGCTTTTCATTCGACAGTCCTAATGCATCGCGACACGCTTCTTTTCCTGGCTTGTGACAGCCCTCCAGAGCGCCTTTGCGTAGATTTGAACAACCGCCCACTCTGTCCTTCTTCTCTCCACTGCCTGGACGATGGATCATGTGGCTGTCGTGAAGGGTATACCATGGACAAGTGAGGGTAATAATATGAGCGCGAAATGCTTATAATTCGCACTTTACACCGAGCGGGAGAGCATAAAATCCTGTGCGCATGGAAGGTTCTATCTTCAGTCAATTAATTTCAGCTGACGTAGAGCGTGCCTGTCTCTGTCTGCTGTTGAGCAGTGGAGGCTGTGTTGATGTTGACGAATGCTCCACCGGCCTTGCGAGCTGCGCGTCTCCATCCGTTGCAACCTGCGTCAATACTAGCGGAGGATATTTTTGTAGTTGCGTGGATGGCTACGAAGGCGACGGCCGCCAGTGCGTTGCCAGCCCTTCCACTGCTGAGGCAGAAATTTCGATTGCAATGGACTACCATAAAACACTTGCGGCCGCCGGAGGGAAGGAAATGCTTAAAGAGGCACTGATAGATGCCATCTTGCAGGTACGTCGAGGCGGAAAGTTTGTCGTGGCATGGATGCCTTGGAGTCATAGCGACTGAACTCATCAAATCATGCGCTTTGGAATGGTCCTTTGAAAACGAATTCGGTAGATCAGCATTTTGCTCTGCAGGCAATTCCAGCTCTAGGTGATCGGAAGCGCATTGAGGTCCCTACCATTTATGAAGGAAGCATCAATGCTGCGATTCGGATTCACCCTCCAACAGACGGGTCATCTTATACAGACGGGTCTGACAATCTAAGGCAGCTTACAGCAGCTGAGGTTCTCCTGGCTCTTCAGGAACAACTTGCAGAGCCACTCTCGTCTCTGAGGACTGGCCCATTTGGGGAGTATGCCTCCTACACTACGATTGGTGAGTGAGCAGGTAGAAATGCTGTCTTCGGAAGACCAACTCTAGTTGTACAGACCCAATGAAAGGCTTGTGCCGAGCGCAACTTTTTGGTGACGAGCATCCCTTTTTTATGCACTTGTGTGATGTCTCCAAAGAAAGGTACACATTCTTCGACCGTTCAGCAACGAAACAAAAGTTTGAATTCCTTGCATTCCTGACTGACTGGTTACCTGAGTGGCTGAAAGAAGCAGTTCCGAGGGAGCTGATTGCAGCAGTGGAGCTTCTGCTGCTTTTCATCTGCATTACCGCTTTGATCATGGGCATTCGAAGGGTAGTAAAGAGGTGGGGTGCACATTTATCACATTCAGTTTCGAAGACCTTCAGTAATTCAGTTTGCTCAGCTGCACAGGCATCTGTAACAGTGTACCGACATACATTCAGGTTGGCATGCAGTCGATTCATCATGCACACACGACGACACTCCCTTCACTAGAAATGATTCGAGCAGCGGGGAGGCGACTGTAAGCAGCTCTGTTGTTTTCTGCATTCTCAGGTCTAGAAGGCGACAGTCGGCTGTTATTGCTCCGCGTCGACATTTTGAGCCCAATCGTGAATCTTTCACGCACTCAGCCCGAACACAGAATTCCGGTGCCGGCCCCACAAGCGGCGTTATCCAGCACCAACCGCAAAATGATTGGCTTGAGAACCGCTAGCCTTGCGATTCAGCACTTTCAGCTGGTTCAGTCCAGTCTCTTGTCGCTCGATGCACTGTGAATTCCATGCTACAATACACGCTAGAGATGGCTAAGCACTGCCCTTACTACAAGAGATATCCGTCAAGAGCCTGCCAAAAGCCCTTCAGGTCGCTGCCCGACAAGCTTGAATCCCAGAGTTAGTTGGTGCCATCTTCCAGTGAAGCAGTAAGGTCATGCTGCAGTGTGAAGGTTTTTGCTCAAGGACCATCTTGGCCTATTCAGATGAAGGCGCCCGTAGGCAACCAACATAAGTTCATGCATTCGATACAGTTGCGTAACCTTAGCCTGCAATAGAATAGGGGATATTCTCACAAATCAATTGCTTGCTCAAGCTGCGGACGGGCCACTTCCAGTTGACGCAGCCAGCGGAACCTAATTCGCTAGAGTGAGCTCTCCGTCACTATCGAGGCATGGGCACTCCGCTGCTAATATCTCTGTGTAGTACTTCTAGTTCACGCATGTTCCACAAGCGATCGATTTGGTAGAACGTTCGTAGAGACGAATAGCTNAAGCTTGACTGAGAAAGGATGGCGGGATGCAGCAGGCCACAACCAACAGCCGTGGGCACCTCGCTCTGAATTATAGCAAAATATATTCCAAAACCAGACGGAAATGCATTTGGAAACAGCACCTTTAGGGTACTTGGAGTTGGTGCCCTCGTCAGTCTCACTGTGTAGATAACACTTGGCTAATGTGTATGATTTTTACATAGCTCGGAGAGAGTGAGTGTTGCGTACACAATTTGTCCGTAGAAAATGTTGGCCCTCACATGGCTTCACAAACTTTTCGAGTCCCGCACGGATTCCTTTTCCGGTTAGCAAAAGCTGTGTTTGATAGGTAGGAAGCTATAAGACACTGATGTGCAGGTAGCCACATGAGGCCATTTGGCACGTATCCCTGTTGCCTAGCTAGCCTGAAGAGCGGAAGGAAAGCAGTCCAAAGCACAGAAGGACACTTAGCGAAAATCATCGAGAGTCACCACTGAGTTGGGCTACAGGGATGCCATGGATTGTAGGGATCTTCATGTACCGTTGAGCTGCCTTGTTATTGCCGATCATCTTTACCCGCAGGGTGCTGTAAACCCCATACCACATTTCCTTTATTATGCAAAACCAAGAAACATCTACCTCCACTTCTGCCAACAGGGGCTATCGAGGGCACCAGAGCGACGTTGCCTGAGAGTGCCAGTCCCACAGTGGCCTTGCAAGGAGAAGGCTCCGAGATGCTCTTTGTCGCGTTTTAGTCAACGACGGGCGCCTTCACGTAATGCAGATGTGCCAGAAAGGTGCTCGTTGTTAAGGCACAGAATGTAACAAACGAAAGATATACAACCTGTACACCACCATAAGATGCCGGCAAAATATCCTTGTTTTACCATGCATTCATACCACCATACCGTCAGATTCTCTAGGAACCATGTGTATGGGGCGCAACAATGCGCAGGCTTGCACATCTGCTCTCCAGCGCTATTCCCAGCTATCTGTTGCAGAAAAATGTATGGCTGGTTGCTGTGGTGGGCCGTTACTTGCAATCATTGCGTTCCTACAACACGTGCCTGTAAAAGGTAAATGCCCACAGCCTGAAGCAGCCGTAGGAGATGCGCTAAAAGTATACCGTGGGCATCAAAGAAATGTGTGCTGCCTGAGACCCAGTGGGCGTGCATACAACGACANACGTAGAGAGGTAGTGCGGGTCTTGACCAGTATATGTATTTCGTAGATATGCCACGACTACTGCGAGGTGAGTCAGGGAAAGCGTTTCAGTACCCTTCCGGGGTTGTCCGCAGCCTCACCTTGACTGGTACTTCGACCTATAGCATCGGCGGCAAGGAAGTTGAAACTAGCCAGGCTGTCTAACCAGAAACTGTTTCCTCTACAAAAGAAAGAATGCGAGAATAGTAAGAAGGGAGCCGATCAGCGGATAAGGAGGAGGTCTGCTAGCAACCGAGGGCCACCAGCGCCAATTACCATTGCTTCTTCAGGGACTAGTTGCATGTATAGACTCCATACCAACCTCGGCGTTGATTGAAAACCACTCTATACGAGAACGAAGGGATGTAAGTAGATTTGCGGCTGTTGTCGAACATGAGGATTGCAGAGTGAGTCAGTTGGGGCACTCGACGTTTTTGGTAAGTTCGAAAGCAACCGCAGTTTACAAACGCTGCATCGCTATTCACAAGGAGCAACGTTTCAACAGACTGATGAAATCAACTGATGGCTGATGTGGAAGTGCCTTCGATTTCATGTTAGGTACGTAATATAATGCAAGGTCCGAATACATAGGCAACTGCACTGTAGTCCTCCACAAATACGGTTTGTTAGCGTAGTGCAACACAACGATGTTTGCCCCTAAAACAACCTAGACTACGCCGAATACACGCGGAGTACCACATTCTTGGATAATGGTTGCGTTGCTGTCAGATTCTTGCTTTCCTCTTCGCCGAAGATGACAGACTCGGGGAAGAGGCACCTGGTTGCCTCTGCCGGGGTTCCTGTTCAGTTGCATTCCCACTGTATTCTGCAGTAGTATTCAGATCTCCCGCTCAAGCGTGCACTTAGGTCTCGCAGTGAAAACAGAAGCTCAAATCCATTGACATGCCAACGGTACGTCGCTGTTATGCCCTATACGTCCTAAGCTCCTCAGGCAGTTTTTCGATTCCACAGAGTCCACCAGGCGCTCAGCGAGGACCTAGTAAAGCACTCTTGAATGCGTTGCGTAAGGAAGACAGAAGTGTCCCAGTGTTGGCCGCAACCACCTCAAATTCCAAAAGTATGTACTTAAACACGTTCCAAAGCTTCCTTCCGTGAGTAACGCAGAATACCCCAGAAAGATATCATCGCACCAAACAGTAATTTGACCCAAGTATGCAGTAGCGGTTTCCAAGCAAAAGCGTGACGATACCATGCCATTATTTGACGTGGTGACGCAACGGTATCCCCCAAAACCTTCGCGCAGGGCGCCTGCTCTGGTTTATCGAAAGCAGCCTGGCTGTTTCAACTCCTATCCGCCGAACCCCAGAGGCACAGACACTCAAAGGACTCCGTGACTCTCAAAATCAGCTGGAGCTAAAGACTACTCAAAATTTAAGTCCTTTGATGAGCTTGCAAAATGGATGCCGACAGATGCGTAAGCCTGAATATGCAGGAATGGCTACGGACGATGCCTCCCTCGTAACCGTCATAATCCGTGTGAAATAGGCATTATTACAGGACCTACAAGACTGTCAGCTCTCTACTCAAGCTGTCTGCGACGGCGCCTACAGGGTGTTAACCCATATTATATCGAAATGCAGCTCGGTACGTCGTGGAGCAGTATCCTGTCATGTTAAACCTGCCCACGCATCCGATGTGAACACGTGATGCCTGTAGGTCCTAAAACATTTTCGCAGCAACCAGACTGTCGTCCGTCAAGTGTAGTAAATTCTCACTCTCGATTTAGTGAGGAGTTACAGTGGCTTTTCTTATCGCACACCTTACATTCGTTCTATCCAAGGAAAAGCATGAACCCTGCCAGCTGCCTGTAATCGCCTATCCCCGAATCAGTGCCTGTCGATGTACGTACCAGTCAGCCACGCCCCTAAACAACAAGAATAAATGGTTGAACAGTTGGTACTCTATGCACCAGAATGAGGGTGATGGTGCAAGCCGTCCAGTGACAGTGCTCCACCAGTGGCAAATAGCCGCTGCAACGTTTGTTGTCTAGTGCATGACCCCCATATGCTTTTCGTCTCCAGAGCAGCCCTAGTCTCCAGAAGAAGGCTACCAAAACTGGAGCATGCCGTGTCATTTAGCGGTTCGTCGCAAGGGAAAACCACTTCTGCGATGGGATAATCACCCCAGGCGCGAGAAGGGCTTGCCCCATTACCTTGCTTCGCATGTATTCGTTTCCTCGTTCTGTTAGATGCTTCTTCCCTCCAACAGAAAACATCCGCACACCAGGCCTTTCCATGGCTTTAATATCTGGTTATCCGGTGGGGAACGACACATGGAAGTGCACTACATTTTGGTTTGCGTGCACTTACTCATTCTCCCGTCTGCTCAGGTCACGCTAGACTATGATGCCAGTGAAGCACTGAGCATTCCCACCTTCGGGAAGCCCCTGCAAGCTCTATGTGGAGCATAAGG